TTTTCAGGAAACTCAAGTCTGCTTCTGCAGTTGCTTCACTTACTGTGGAGTTAACGAGCGGAAATACTGCTATTGTAACGCACATAGTGGTCAAAGTGGGTATATATTCAAATCCAGTCATCATGATTTTAGCACTCTGCTTGTAACATCCCGTTAGCTTCCTCATGTCTCTGTGTGTGTGTTCCTGTGTCTCTGTGTCTGTCTGTGTGTGTGTGTGTGTGTGTTTCCCCTGATTACACTCATCCTACTCACCTGTCCAGTCCACCCAGCTGCCTTCAATCCCCTCATCACCCCACACATATATACTCCCCTGCTTTCCCTGTTCTGGTTATCAGATCGTCCTTGTTTGTTCCCTGTCTGTTCCTTGACTGTGCCTCCCTCGTGTTTGTTAGGTGTTCCAGAGTTTATTCCTGGTTGGTACCTTTTTTTTCTGTTTTGGATTTATGCCCACTCCGTTGGAGTCGCTTTCAGTTTTTGTTCATGCCTTATTAAGTAAAAATACCTTATTTTTCAACTTCGCCTCGTCTCCAGTGTCTGTCTGCGCTTGAGTCTCGGATCTGCCCCTCGGACGTGACACTGCTGCTACCTTACGTCTACAGTTACGTCAACAGTTATCAAGTGCCCTAATACTTCAAAAAAAGCATTAAAATCAATATTGTTGCTAAATACGTATAAATCTCGCCGTTTAGCATTTAGTATACAGAAAATAATTACATTTTTGTGTTTTTTTTTCAGTTATGAACATTGTGGTGTCATCTCAAAAACTGTCATTAAAGGGTTACAATTCTGAAAACGAATGAATATATGGCAGTTATGATCAGAACTGAAAACATAACTTGGTGTATGTAGAAAATATTAATATATAGTATTTTACAGCAGTTTTAGGAAGGGGACATTTTTGTCTTCCAAGGTACCAAGATGGAGTTTTTTTCTTTTAAATCTGATACTGCACAAAAAAATATGAATGCATCAAAATCAATGATGTTGCTAATCAATTCCAATGTATTTGTATAGTATCACAAATCACAAATTTGCCTCAGAGGGCTTTACTATCTTTACAACATATGAAGTCTTTGTTGTTGAACCCTCGCATCGGAACAGGAAAAACTCCCCAAACAATCCTTTAATGGGAAAAAATGGAACAAACCTAAGGGAGAGCAACAGCGCAGGGATGCAAAATATGTCACAAAACATGTAAAAAAGATACAACATTGTCAATACATATGAAAGAAATGATACATATAATGACAGTAGTAACAGCAGTAGTAATAATAATAGAAAAAGAATTACTGCGAATGATAGAAGCAGCATTTAATAGAATGAAAATAAAACCAGTAACGGTATCAGTAATAGAGATGTGATCAATAATAATAATAATATAATAGTGCTGTACAGGTGTAACCACGATCCATGGAAACCTGTGAGATGATTATGATAACATTTCCTGTGTCTATATTCATGGCCACCAGCAGATAAACCCTGTTTCTTGTGACACACTGACCTGCTTGAGCACTGGCAGACTCTTCTAAACCTTTGGTGTTCATGCTATATTTAGGCCTCTTTTCCATCCACTATGATGTGAAGGGTTTCTTTTTTGAACAAATCATTCTGCGGTGTGTGTTCTGTTGACATTTCACTAAATTGTGACATTATTGCAAACATTGATATTTCACCTCTGACTTTCTGAGACAGTGAAATCATTTTTAACTTGGATCACCTTTAGCAAAAGGATGCATACATGTATTTAAAGTATGCAATCGAATGTGCAAGTTAACCAAAACCATCAAGTCATTTCCTCTTTCTGTTCCTATCGCTGCTTAAGCTCTCAGCTCTGCACATCCCTTCCTATGAGCGACACTCTCATTTCCATGCTAGGAGCGTGTAGAACTGCAGATATTAATGGCTAAGAGCTTTTAGTATCTCTCACTCCTCCAGCTTTGCCTCTCACTGTTGTTACCGCCTCTCCCTCACTCCTGCTTCCTGTTGTGGCTTTGAATCAGCTTTCAGGGGCCAGGCGTCGCTCGCTCAACAACTTGGCATCAGGCCATGAAAGATGAAGAAAATCTTCTCTCAATAAATGCTGAGTCTCACAAGTCCTGCTTTATCTGCGGTGCCAGTGGAGTGGCCCGTTAAAGTGACACACAATAGCTATTAAGACTGCGCCATGCAAAAGCAACAATTGAATCATTTTTCTATGTTAATGTATGGCTGGTCAATATGGGCCCAAAGTTAAGTGGGTTGTTTTAGCTTCACGCCGAAACCCCATAAATAGTAGGATTAAGCCGGCAGGATTATAGTCAGTGTGCTTTTGCAGAGGCAGTTTTACTGCCTGTGCTCATTCTATTCTATTCAACGATTAAAGCTTGCGGACTTGTCTTGATGGTTGGGGCAAAATCCGCAAGCATTCTTCTGATGATGTCAGCTATAAAAGGGTCTGTGAGGTGGTTTTCATATATGATCTTCCATATATGTATAGTGAGGGCCTAAATGTTTGTGTCAGTATCCGAATTCCATCTATTGTTACCTTGGACAGCAATAGAAAGCTTATAAGAGCATGCTGATGTAGTAGCACTCCCATATGCCAGCTGTCCTTTCACCCTCTATGCTCTGTACATGCCTCCCTGAGAGGTGACTGACAGCTGCTGGCCCCACCCTGGGCCTCTGGTTGGACCCATGGTGTCATCTTGCCTCCCATCATTCCAGCATCCCGCTTACGACCAGCAGCTCCGCGGGGACCAATGTGTCCAATGTTCTCCAGGAGAAGACTGTCAATGACAATTCCCCGCCCGTCTACCCCACCCTTTGTATGCACTCAGCCAGCTCCTTCGGGCCCCTGACTCAACCTGCAGGGGTGCTCACACTGCTGCTGACTGACATGAAATCACCCATATGGCCCCCACTCCAGAGGAAAAGCACAAGGCTTCGCTATGGTGCACAAAAGCCACATGGCATGTTGTGAGGGCTTCCTAAGCAGATAGCACATGTTTGAAGACATGCACTCTTCTCTCGCTGATGCCAACTCATCCCCATCACTCCCACCTTTTCCCTCCTCCCTGCTATTTTGCCTAATTGGATTTTCCCAATCCATTGTTTTCTCTTCAGTTGCGGTTGGCATGGGGTAACAGAATTAAGCTGTTTCTTCTCCCCAATGAGCTGTGGCTGCAGGCAGCCTCTGTGACAGGACCATATGCTTACAACAGCATTCCCAAGGAAACCTTCTTCTCCACCAAAACCTCTTATCAGAAATGCTTAGTCACTCTCTGATCCTAAAGAACACGTACACAGATATGACTCTTGATATCACAGTAGGTTGTATCACAATACATTGTATTAATGCGTTTTTTATGGCCCATCAGATATAAAGTGTTTTTGGTGATTGGATGGCGATCATTTCTGTTCTGGAAACTGCTCAGAACCATCCATGCATTCCGTGAGAGCCTTAGGTCTGTAAAGTTACATATCGTCTAAGATTGTCTTCAACAGCAGCTCACAACAGATCAGTGAGGTTAAGTTTTTAAAACTGGTCTCACCTCAATGAAATGTGGGGACTAACCTCACCTCTAGCTAACCTCAATGACTTGTAAGGACTAACATTAGGCGTGCAACGGATCACAAACCTCACGGTTCGGATCGTACCGCACTTTTTTTAATCACGGATCGGATAATTTTTCAGATCAGCAAAGAAAATGGGGGGTGGATAAATATAACTTTGCTTTCCATTTATTAATTAAAGAACTTCAAGAATATTTAAAGCAAATAACTTCGGCCCAGTGGTGGGCCGTCAGGGCCAGCAAGGCCTTCTCTGCTGGCCTAAACAGAATCACAAAGTTATAGCTATTTTATAAGTTAATAATATTTGCTTTTATATATGATGATTTTAATGTAAAGTGTCTGAGTATTATGAAAAGCGCTATATAAATAAAATGTATTATTATTTATTATTAATAATTGTTCTTAAATACACTACATGTATTATAATTTATAAAAATATTTTTCCCATTATCCTATTTTCTCATTGCACAGCTCCTGTCTTCCTCAGTTGCTCTGCTTCCAGTGCAGCTTGTTTTAAGTAGAGCTTTTATCCAATCAGATCTCACCTCCGTCTCTAGGTAAGAACAGAGACAGAGGCCTGCAGACTCACAAGTGCATCCATGTGCAGTTTAAGTAAATGGGGACGATATTGTTGATTGTCATAGTGTTCAACCAATCAGATCTTTAGTTTGACATGTTGGGCGTATTCTTTGATGTGCCAGAGCCTGCTAGCTGGCCTACAAGTACGTCAGCATTAACGGGCAGCTCAGTTTTCAGGTGCGCTGTGATTGGTCAGTGGGCGAGCACGTGACTATTGTGAACTGAAACTTAACTTGCCAGCAGAGCTTAGTTGGAGGAGTAAGAGTTGAAATTGAAAGATATGGAAGAAATTATAACATTTTTAGGGTTTTGCTTGTAGATTATTATTGTTTTACCTAGCTTTGTTTTTTTTAACACTCAATGGCTGAATAAGGAGGAGAAACGGATTTAGTGGGGGAGTTACTGACAATGCCTTTCTCAAGAAAGACATTTCAGGAAAAGCTGGACATCGTAAGAAATGGTCAGTCAACGCCACAGCTGGCAGCCTGACTCAGCCAGGAAAAGGATTTGTATGAATGGTATTTCTTGCTGACAGCGTCGGAGAAGCGTTGCACATTTTATGGCTGGGAATGTGTTTCATTTTAACTGAGCGTCTTGGTGTTTGGAGCTATGCTACGCTAACCTGAGGACACCATAGCATTTGAAAACTTTTGGAGAGACTCAAGTGGATCTACAACTCAACAAACACATTTGCAGGGAAACAGCTCCACAGCCGCGGGGCCTGCCGTGCGGCCCGGCGTGCGGCCCGGAGGAGGTGGGATCCCGCTGCGAACCTGCCGCAGCAGACTGGCGAAATACAACTGGGGAGGCTCAACTGTCATCACTGGCGTCCATGAATCGAGAAGGACTTCTTACAGGAACTGAAACGATGTACTGGGATTAAACTCTTTAAGTTTCGGTAAGTAACAAACTGCGTTTGTTTTTTTTACATAGTAACGTTAGTTCATTTGTCTATCGTGTTGTTTCTATGAATAATATTTGAATGGCTCGTGCTCTTGTGTGGTGGAATGTGTGGATCTGCTGCAGATTTTCTGGATTGATGTGTCATAATGAGGTTATTAGGAGGTAATTACACTGTAGTGCAACAGGCAGTAGCACAGAAGGCCCAGGTATAAAATGCACGGCCGCCACTGCTTCGGCCTATAGTGTTGCATGAAAACCACAATATTTAAGATATTTAATTTCAGAAAGACGAGAATACTTGCATTGTGTGGGGAAAGGGCAGCGCCAGATGTCTGTCTGTGTGACTCTCACAGAGGGGGCGTGTCTGCAGCACCGGACTTTACATCTGCACTCCTCCGTGATGAGCTGTCAGTCTTATTTTCATAGAGGCCCGGAACGATCTTCTTACTGAAGTGGGTGCGTGAGGGGATTTTGTAGCGTGGCTCAAACACTTTAACCAGATTTTGAAAATCTTTGTTTTCCACAACGGAGAATGGCCTCATGTCAGAATCAGAATCAGAACCGTTTATTGCCAATGTATGTAACATACAAGGAATTTATCATGGCAGGTGGTGCATAACATTAGACAATAACATTGACCAATAAACAACAATCAACAGTGCAAGAAATAGAAACATATTAAAATTTACAATAGAATTTAAAAGAATATAAAATAAAGTGCACAACAAACAGATAACAGGACTGTAAACAAGTGTAATGTAAAAGTGACAAGTGTATTTAAATATGAAGGGATGTGCAGGGGAGTAATAGGGAGGGAAGGAATTTGTCCTGGGGATGACAGAGTCGGTGGGGGACCCGGGCTCTGTTAATGAGCCCGACTGCGGATGGGAAGAAGCTGTTCGTGTGGCGTGAGGTCTTGGTCCTGATGGACCTCAGCCTCCTACCAGATGGAAGGGGCACGAACAGTTTGTGTCCAGGGTGAGAGGGGTCGGCTACAATCTTTCTTGCTACAAGCTTCAGGAGCTTGACGGACTGGTGATTGGAGGTGCAGCTGTTCATGTACACAGGGAGAAGAGCAGAGGGGAAAGAACGCAGCCTTGGGGGGGAACAGGTGCTGATGGTCCGAGAGGCTGAGACGTGTTTTCCCAGCTTGACGTGCTGCTTCCTGTCAGGCAGGAAGTCTGTGATCCACTTGCAGGTGGAGTCGGGCACGTGCAGCTGGGAGAGATTGTCATGCAGCAGAGATGGGACGATAGTGTTGAAGTCAGAGCTGAAGTCCACAAACAGGATCCTGGCGTAGGTTCCTGGGGAGTCCAGATGCTGGATGATGAAGTGAAGGGCCATGTTGACTGCGTCATCTACAGACCTGTTGGCTCTGTAGGCGATCTGCAGGGGGTCCAGGAGTGGGTCAGTGAGGGTTTTTAGGTGGGACGGGACTAGGCGTTCAAAAGAGTTCATGACATGTCTGCAGCAATAAATACCCCCAATAGATGCTGTAATAGCTTTAGCTCGGACTGATTCGGCCACAAACTGTTTCTAAATGCCGCGATGATACCTTCTTGTTGTTGTTGTTGTTGTTGTTGTTGTGCCTTGGCCCCCCGTCGCTGACAGACCGGGGTGGTGGCACTTCAAAAGTGTGGGCATGCCTGATATATTGCCGTCTGTCTTTCTCGTTAAACAATGCCTACATACAGTTTTAATTAATTTTTTCAATTATATTTATTCAACTTCCTGCTTTTCTGATTTTGGAAAAGGCGTTGGTCATAATTATTTGTTTTTATATCAGATTTATAAATTTCTGTTCATAATATACCATCATTTTGTGATTAATTATTACATTTTCTGTTACGATTGGAATGTTGGAAAATAAGTCAGTCAGTGCTATGATGTGCCTTTTTAATACTCTTTTAACTTATGAGCTCAGTTTAGCTGTTTTTTTTTTTTTTGCTGATGTAAACTATATTTTGATTGAATGCTTCTTATTATCTTGGATTTTTTTTAAGATTATCATATTCTAATTTAAAGTCCTCCTTGGTATTAGTTTGTTTATGATTTTTTAAACAGATTTTTCTACCTTGTCAATCTCTTTATGTCACATCTGTACAAGGCAGGAAAACAGAGTAAAACCCAAACACAGACACACAAAGGAAGCAGGAGGAGGATTAAAGGTGAATCTACATCTAAAATAGTGGCACAGATGACAGCCTCTGTACTGCGCTCTCCCGTACTTTTTCTGGTTTTCTTTGTTTGTCTCGTTTCCAGCTCTCCCTCTCTGATCACATTCAGCAGGGAGGAACTTTTAAACTTCCATCAATCCACTGGTCAAACTTTTTTGCTGTTTTTCATTAAACCGGAATGTTTTACAGAGCTTTCAGTTGGAGGAGCAGCGGCTCTTCTCGGGATTTGCCGGAGACGCCGACGGGGGAAGCGAGCAGGAGCGCTCGTTAAACTGCGTCAGCGGGGATTCAGAACTTCGCTCCCGTCAATCCATCTGGCGAACGTCCGCTCTCTGGCCAACAAGATGGATGAACTGCTGCTCCTTAACAGAGCAAACACGGACTTTAGCAGATTTGAAGGCAAATCAATGTCAAAATCCGAGAGTGCAAATGAGATCCACACGAGCGTGCAAATCAAACAGCCGTGCGCGTATTTTACTTTTGACGAGTAAAGTCGCTCACGAAACTTTAACCTGGTCGCTCACGAGCAGTTTTTCTTTTTGACAGTAAGTGGGCGGACCCAGTCGCCATTGTATCTCTACATCTAATTGGTTACAATCCCCGTCTTGGGATAAACCGGATATCACTCTGACACAGACGCTAGTTCTGATAGAGGTGGTTTTCAATCCGCCACCAAACACTACTCCACTACATCTCAAGATTTTCTACATTTGTCTGACAGGTTTTGTAAACATTTCAGACTGTAGAGGCTGATGAAATACAAAGTATGTTAATAGCGTTGTTAAATACAATAATTAAAAATGTGTTTCTCTTGTAAATGGAGTCAAGTTGCTCAGATTGGTTTAAATTCACTCCATCATTCTATTACAATGTGTTTGATCATCAAACCTCTTGTGACAAACAGCTCAAAGAAACTCTTTGATCTTAATTGATTAAAACATGATGTGATCATATTCACTAACTGGCTGACGACCTGAATGTCTTCTGCTGCAGGTTTGATAAGCCTACTCTCACACCCCCCACCTGCCCCATCATCATCAAACAACCACCTACTCCCCCTGCCTCCTTCTCACTTCTCCCAACCGACCCCCCACCAGCATTGAGGATATGCGAAGAGGATGCGAGTCGGCTCTTCCACAGACAGAAGATCAAGAAGGCACCAGTCCCAGACGGTGTGTCCCCCTCCTGCCTGAAAGTCTGTGCTGACCAGCTGGCCCCATCTTCACGGAGATCTTCAACCGATCGCTGGAGCTCTGTGAAGTACCCTCATGCTTCAAACGCTCCACGATCATCCCGGTCCCCAAGAAATCCTCCATCACAGGATTAAATGACTACAGGCCCGTCGCCCTGACGTCTGTGGTTATGAAATCCTTTGAGAAACTGGTGTTGACCCATCTGAAGAACATCACAGGATCCCTGCTGGATCCCCTGCAGTTTGCCTACCGTGCAAACTGGTCGGTGGATGATGCAGTCAACATGGGACTGCACCACAAGCTGCAACACCTCGACTCCCCAGGGACATACGCAAGGGTTCTGTTTGTGGACTTCAGCTCAGCGTTCAACACCGTCATCCCAGCAATACTCCAACCCAAACTCTCCCAGCTCACTGTGCCAGCCTCCACCTGTCAGTGGATCACAAACTTCCTGACTGACAGGACACAGCCTCCCCGGCTGGGAAAAATCATATCAAGCACCCGGACTATCAGCACTGGTGCCCCCCAGGGATGTGTGCTCTCCCCACTGCTCTTCTCCCTCTACACCAACAACTGCACCTCAGAGAACCCGTCTGTTAAACTCCTGAAGTTCGCAGACGACAACGGTCATCGGCCTCATCAGGGACGGTGATGAGTCTGCGTACAGACGGGAGGTTGAACAGCTGGTCCTCTGGTGTGGTCTGAACAACCTGGAGCTAAACAAGCTCAAAACTGTGGAGATGACAGTGGACTTCAGGAGGAGCCCCCCAACACTGCCCCCCCCTCACCATACACAACAACACAGTGTCTGCTGTGGAGACCTTCAGGTTTCTGGGATCCACAATCTCCCAGGACCTGAAGTGGGCTCCCAACATCAACACCATCAGGAAAAAGGCCCAGCAGAGGTTGTACTTCCTGCGCCAGCTCAGGAAGTTCAACCTACCTCAGGAGCTGCTCATCCTGTTCTACTCCACCATTATCCAGTCTGTTCTGTTCTTCCATCACTGTGTGGTTTGGATCGGCCACCAAACAGGACAGAAACAGACAACAATGGACTGTCGGGTCTGCCCTCCATCCTGGACTTGTACACCTCCAGAGTCAGGAAACGGGCAGGAAAGATCATTGCAGACCCTTCACACCCTGGACACAAGGTGTTCCAACTCCTCCCCTCTGGTAGGCACTACAGATCTCTGTACGCCAAAACCACCAGACACAGGAACAGCTTCTTTCTGCTGGCCGTCACTCTGATGAACAATTAATCAGTAACACTACACTACTACCTCTGTTTGCACTTTCACCTCAGTTCCATTGACACTGTTGTATTGTTGTATAGGGTTATGTTCATATATACAGTATATATATACTTTTTGAATATATATATTTATATTTTACATAGTCGTTAAATGTTTATGCTTACATCTTTCCTGTTTATTGTAAATTCTGTGTATGTACGTAGAGAGCAACGAAAAACCGAAGTCAAATTCCTTGTATGCGTACGCGTACATGGCCAATAAAGCTGATTCTGATTCTGAATTTGATAAAGAAAACGTCCAAACAAAACCTACATAGGAGCTGAGGCTATAGTGAGTCTAAAAGTAATCAGAAGAACCACAAGTGAAACAACG